GTTGCTTTCCTCCCTTCCTTCCTTCTTTCCTTCCTCCCTTCTCAATTTGCTTTGAAAGACCTTTGGAGGTTGCTTAGCCACTAATAGAGAACTTTTTCAGCAAGTAAATGGAATTGTATTAGCTGTCAGGATATAATCTGGCTGCAAAAACTTGTCTGCCAGAATAGTAGAAAGCAGTATGTAGGCTAGTGTCAGCATAAAGGGGCTCTGGAAGCTATGCCTACAGAAGAATTCTGGCATTTCAGGCATGCAGCCAGTTGTTCAGTGAAAGTGAGCATATATCCAAGAAATAGTGACCTATTCCAGCTGCATCATTCTGACTAACGTTCACATTTTATTGAATAGATTGGATGAAGCCTGTGTCATGCAGAATTTCCAAAGAGATAATTACAGATATCCCTTTTGATTCAAATACCCATAAATCTCTGAGATGGTAGGAAGTGTTCTAGTACATCTTTGATTTGCTTTATCTATCTCATTCCCATTCAGGATAAATCATGAGAGAGAAATAAGCTTACACTTACACCACAAGGCAGAAGTGCTCTTGTGGTGTTACTTAGAGAGTAGTACCATGAATGGTACTCTGGATGTACAGAGAACTGATGGTTTCATAATGACTTCATTTACAGACGAGGTGTCAACTCAAAAGATGAGTCTGAGGAAGAACCAGATCCAGGGCTTTTCCAAGGCTGCAACAAGAATCAGCTGGAGCAAGAATACGGAACTTCAAGATGTCAAATCCTGACTGACTCAAATGGTCCTTTTGTAAAATGTCATTCTACGGTCTCACCAAATTTCTATTTCACGTAAGTGTCTATTGCAGACAGTTGTTCTCCCCATTTGCAAAATCATTTCGGCGCTAGTTTCTGACAAGAACTTTGCATCTTCAGTCTCCAGGGTATTAATAGGAACTGAGGATAGTAAGTGTCTTTGGAGAACTGGGACCAGTGATTCCATTATTGATACATTTAAAACCCCTTATTTATTTTTAAATAATTGTGATGATCTGTCTTTCCATCTATTTAGAGTTTCACTTTCCTGTTAGCTCTAGAAAGTAGCTTTCCTCTTTTCCTACACAGATAAAGCAGCAGTCTTAAGCATTATACATGTAGGCTGGGATTTCCAGTGTGCTTACAGTTCTCATCCACATTCAGTGAGAATTTAGTACCTGGCCCTAGTTTAGTTTCCTTTTAGCAATTCTAACTTCATAAAATCTAGCCTTCATGCTATAGCCACAAAGACTGAAGCTGTCAGTGACACCTCTTGAATCTTTCATGGACAAGTGCAAAAAACAGATTGGTGAAGAGTAACTAACCCTGTATCTTCAAGAAAGTTCCCTCTGCTGTGTTTCAAGGCTGCTCTGGCCTCCTACATACACAATTCCTACACACCTAATTTTGAGCTGTATGAAACCTGTTGATTCATCCCCACATTCATCATTCATCCATCATCAGTCACAAAATTGCCAAGCAGCTGCCAGTTTTCTTTAGTCATATAGTTTTACCTAATGTTTAAAGATAACTAATGCCCACCTCAAAGTCCCTCTTAGCTGTGAGAAGAATGTGAAGGTATCTTAAGCCAAATAAACTGGACCACTGGCTTCAGTGTATATATCCCGATTCTTAACATAAGCCTGCTTTTCTCCTCACTCTAGAATTTGGTTGGGCAGCCTGTTCTACCTTCCTGGTGGTTGCCTGATTTTTCTGAGGTGCTGCATACTTGCAGATCCCATTCATCTCAGATCTCAATGCCTCTGAAAATCAGGCCACGGATATTCAGGTGATGAGCAAAGCTGAGAAGGTAGCACTGGCAAACAAACACTGGGTAAAACAGAATTCTCTGTCAATATTCAAGGCATACGGACATGGGGAGGGCACCCATGTATTGAAAGAAGTGTATAGTCCAGCTATAAGACTTAGCAGCACTAAAAAGTGCTCTATAAGCAAGATGCAGCCATGCTAGCCCAAAACAGAAGCAGATAGCAAAGAATAACTTACTGTGACAAGCAGTCAGGTACCTGTTTATTGCTTGTTCATATATGAATACCTCGCATGTTAGCAGCAGCTGCACAGCAAATGACCTGATCTTCCCAATCATGTGGCTGGGGTTTTTTTTATTCCTCTGTTTTCCTGTCAGCCAGATACAGGAAAATGGAACTAACTCAGGGGCAGGCAGAAAAGCAGCTGAAAATAAACAATAACAAAGGTACTGGGAATGAACGCTTTCTTATGTTGCACATAGGAGCTGCCTGTTTGATATGTGTGTGGAAGGAGATGAGGATGCTACCTTATGTCGCAGTCTGGAGGAATACGTGCTGGCTT